GTTCTGCGTGGCTCAGCACATTTTGGGTTTGTGCTTATGGCAGCATTTGTTTTTCACTCTGCTCTTCCTCAAGGCAGGGGACTAACATGACACTAAGGGCTACTCTTAAACCTTCCTGGGGAAAGAACTTGTGCTCAGTAGCTGCGCACATGATTGGAGTCAGCCTGAAATTCAGTGCATTAAACTGGAAGTGGCACATCCAATGCTGTAACAAAACAGTAAATCCCCAGAAACCAGAGTGAAGGATGCAACCATTCCTGGTCAGAACCCAACCTTAATGGAGAGGGGAGGTTACTGTGTGACAGGAGCCTCCTTGCAGTGCGATTAGACCCTGCCTGAATGCTCTGTGGTTTGGGTTGTGGGTTGGTCCAACTAGCAGAATGCACACAGGAGGGTTTGACAAGTCTTCTCCTCTTTCGTAGAAGGTATTTATTTCAAATTACTTTTTTTTTTTAAAATCTTTTTTTGCATTTAAAAAGAGTGCTGGGGTTTTTGTCTTTTGGGTGACTTATCAGTCATTATGTGCTAAGAGAACTTGTTCCTGGGATTGCTCTGTGTTGTGACCATAGGAAACACTGTGTTTAAAAGTTGCTTAAGAGTTGCTGTTATGGTCCCCGTTCTCATTTGCCTGTAACTGTCAGATTACCAAAGCAGGTTGAACTCTCTTATGTCAGTGCTTGACCCGTTATGTTGCTGTTTGCTTGGGTTTACAGGCAGCCACTGTGTTTCAGCAATCTTTGAAAATGAACTCTTGGGAAAATGCCTCTCTGGCTCTGTGCCCTCCTCTTTATGAAGCTGCAGTTCCCTCTCGTGGTACGTTGGGTGGGAATTCTTCCCCTCTCTCCACACTCCTATTTGCAGGGTACCTGCAGAACTGCTTTGTCCCAAGGGGGGAAAAGCACCTGAAAGAGTTCATCCCTCTCAAGCTGCTGTTCTGAAATGGGCACTTTGTTTCTTCACCTGAAGGTGTGTGACAGGGAAATGGGACCTATACCTGGGGACACAAGGGCGTATGGACTTTACTTAATGACCCTGCCAATTCCCTCTACATCATGTTTGTACCTGCATGCCTGTGAGTGCTGTCTGGATGACACTGCTGGGTTTGTAGAGCAAAGCAGTGACTCTCAGTGACCAGGGAATCAGTGTGCAAGTGGCTTCAGCTTCTGACTTGAGACTGGCACACAGACCAGAGAACTTTTGAATCCTGCCAAGTTGGTGATGGGTAACAGTTTGGTACCTCTGCTGCTCTTTTAATTGCTCCAGGACATTGAGGTCCATCCTGTAGCAAAGATCTTTGTTTTAGTACTGGAGTTTTACCTCTGTCCAACCTGCAACTCCTACTGCAAGCTGTGAACCCACAATTCATACATGTTTGGTGGAGACTTTCAAGGACTCTGCAGCTAAATTCCCTTAAGTTGGTCATTGCATCCAGGAGACAAAAGTGAGAGCAGGTAGGCTGCTTCCAGGGTTCTCCTCCTCCTCTCACAGCCTCAAAACAGCAAGTACCAGGGTGAGAGGGGTGGGTTCTGATCAAGAAGGGCAAACCCCTACAGATACAGTGCTCTATGATGGCAGTAACACTGAAAATGTTGTGCTGTATCTATCCGGTACTGCAGAAATAACAGATGTGCAGCAGTAATAAATTAGCTAAACATATATGTAGAACAGAGTGATTAAGAGATAATACTGCTTTCTAGAAGTAATCTCTGAACTAATACCTAAATCTAAAGAGAGAAGTGATTTCTGAATGCAGTCATGAATTATGCTGCTGTGACAAGACGTTATGCCCTGTCTCAATCTGTTTCATTCTTAGAGGCGTGCTTTGCATAAACTAACAGAAATCACACTGGTTACAAAAAAAACCCCTAAAACGCTAAATGCTATCCTTTATGTAGAACCTCATTACAACCTTACATATTGACAGAAATGTAATTCTGTTTGTCCATCAAAAGTTTAAGGACATTTTCTTATGCCTGCACTCACAATTCCACTTACATGTGGTTTCAGGAAGCCTAATGTAACAGTCAGATTAAGTGCTTTCTTGCCTATGGCTATTTTACTGGAAATCCTGGTAATGAAAACCTCAGAATAGGCATTTGTGTCAAAAAAGCATGTTTTCAGTGCTTCCACCCTGGAAAGGGAGGCAGTAAGAGTGTGTGTTTCTCTTCTATTATTGATTATTTATTGTAGTTCTCACTAGAGGATAGAGGACTAAGATACTCCGTCTCAAAATGTCAAACCTTAACCTTTGTGCAAACCTTCTGAAGTTCAGCAAGCTATGTGAAAATGGGCCACTGTGATTGAATAACGTTAATGTGGAAATAGTTAACTCCCACACAAGACCATTTCACCATCTGCACCATGGTTTGGGTCTGCAATGGTTTCACAAGTCTGTGACGCCTGTGCAGATTTTGTGGTGGTTCTTCTGTTTATAATTAGTACTGTACTTAAAGAAACATCTGTACAGGAATACATGCAACAAAACATTGATACACAGATGCAGATGCTAAAAAGATAATTACACTTTTGTGCTGAGCATTTAGCTGTCTAGGCTGACTTCACACCCTATATCCATCATTGCTTTCAGAGGCAGATTCTCATCCCAGGAGCTTGCTTTCTTTTCTCCCAGGTGGTTCTATTGCATCTGGTTGTATTAAAACACATTTTGTGACTATGCGATTCAGATCACCCTATAACACTGACCTACTCTCCTTATTACCCTATGGCTCCACATCCTCTAATGTTCTCTGCCCATTCTACTGTCACAGATTTTTAGCATCACAGCTTCTTCCCTGCACCCCTTTCTCCTCCTGTGAGCTCATCTGCTGCTCCCTTCTGTGTCAAACCTTTGTTCTCATTCTTCTTCTCTTCCCTAAACCTCTGCTGTGTTTTCTCTCCTCCTAAGCTCATGCTGCTTAAGTTTCCACATGGCACCTGGTGCTGGCACTTCCTTACCCCCCTCTCTGAACAAGAGCTAGTCATGGGCTCTAAACTGGCAAGGTCAGCAAAAGCTGCCACATACTGTATGTACCTTGACTGTTGTGCTGATGCAATTCACTGAATAAAAAGTGCCTCTACATGGATGGCCTGGATTTAAAAAAAAAACCACCTCCAATAACCAACCCAAACCAACCCATCTAGAACTATGAACTAATACTTACAATCTTTGCTCAGAGTCAGCCAAGATTTGCAATCTTACTAGTTTGTAACAACAGCTCCCACCCATGCCCAACCCCCAAGCACTTTTTTCTTCCTTAATCATCCCAAATTAACCCAGAACTATTGGGTTGTTGTAGTAGTAGTTAACCACTTGGCTTAGGCTTCCTTGGACTGTCTCTCATACCCTCTTTCATCTTTTACCTGAAGTTCATTGCTGCTTTGAAACATACTCTGGTTTTGCAAGACTCTTATAAAGTATTATTAATTGCTCTAGTCCATCCTGCTTTCTTTCTGATATAGCCATTTTACCAGACTGGCTACATTATCTTCTCCCTGAGGGCAGTTTAAAGCCCCTGGCCTAACCCCATGAGTTTACTGTTGGTGGCCTTAATGAGCAGCACTGAGCTAGAGGATAGCAAAACCTCCATCCCCACAGTGCTCCTGTCTTGTGCTCTCCAAACATCTTCCATGCAGCTCTGTCCCAACCATCAGCTGCCCTTACGTCTGTAGCCTCATCTTGTCTTCTTCAACGGGCAGGACGGTTATAAAGGGACAAGAAGATAGATGAAGTGGCTCAGATTCCTCAAAGAGCTCAGCATTCACACTTGAGGCCAGAGCAAACGGTCTGCTTTTAGTCTCTTTATTTTACAGTGCTTGGCCTCAACACACTTAACCACATTCAAAACTGAGTCTAAAGGTTGCAGTGAGTATATCTACAGATATGACCCAAATCTGGTCGTGATTACTTATGAAAATCTCACTGAGTTCAACTGTAACATTTCTGCTTGTAGTGGAGCCAAGTTTACAGTATCAGCAACATCAAGACAAAGGAACTGATACAGAAAAATATATTCAATGCATTTTTATTTTTCTTCCTGCTCTGGGTAGGGTTTGGCAAGAGTAAGGGAGGCATTACAGTATGTATTGCCAAAACCCAAGCAAATATATTTTGAATTGCAAATGCATGTTCCACCAGAAAGGGATGTTCCTTTGCAAAATGGTGGGATGCCTGCTATCAGTTTTGGTAAAAGCCATGTTAGTGCCCTGGCCACGAGTGTGGGTACCAGAAGCTCAGTTTATTTCTGGCTCTGCATCTGATATAGTCCATGTGCCCAGATGAGTCACGCCACTCCCCTTTCACTTTCTTTTTCTGTGAGAAGGGCTTTAGTATCTTTGGAAAATGCTTTGAAATTGATGATCAAATGACTAATTGATAATCATCTTAAAGGTGTCCTCAACAGGTAAAGAGCTCACCTCAATAAATGTAAATATGCCATAAGAAGACTATTAGCTCAGTCAAAAAGTCAGCAAATAAAAAGAAGCATGATCCTCTGAAACCACTGATTAGTTTGATCCATTTTCAGTGGTGAATTTTTAATCCTGGTCAAAGTTCTGAAACTAAACAATTTCTTACAACAGTTAGTTAAAAGTAGGAATGGATATTTTTTTTCAGCAATAAAATCTTCCCTGAGGTTGCATTATGAAAGGTAATGGCTTTGACAGGTAAAAGTCTATAGAGATACAAGGGCTACTATTACATAGCAGGAAATTCCGAACAAAGCTGTTATGGCTCCTCCTCAAATTAGTTTTAAAAATAAATACTTTACTTCTACTAAGGAAAAATACATTTGAGTATTTACATAGTGTAATCTACAACAAACAATTTGGGAAGACAAGTGAAAATGTAAATTTTTGCAAATAAAAAAATCATGGTGTAAAGTGTGTTAAAATGGCTGGACTCCAGTTGATCATATAATGAAATTTAACCCATCTTAAAATGAAAAGTGACTTGAAACTTAATTTTCTTAATTTTTTCTTTTTCCCCCTTTCTGTGTGTTTAGAAATGCTGAAGTGATACACACTGACAATTTGGACACTTTTTCAAGTTGAGAAATTAATCAAAACCAACATTTTCCTGCAAAGGTTTCATTTTCAACCAAGCAGGCCTCTTCTGATTAAAGAAGTTGCATAAAAATTCTTATTCATCTCTGCGCAGGAGCACTGCTGTAGCTGTTGGGTGAGTCATATCTGTTTTAGAGACAACCTTCATAATAACCTAAAGATGCTGTTTTAAGAATCCTTATATGAGTACTTTTGCCTGCACAATCCACTTGGCCCCGGGGCAGTGCCATCCCAGCTGTTGAGAGGTCACCTGTGTTCATGGGCCCAAACCAAGGACACGTGTGAGTCACTTCTGAGGAGCAAGGGCAGAGATTGCCCATTTGCCATCCTGTGCTGAAAAAATGAGCCCTGCAGCAGATTCCCTGCGGCAGCTCCCTATGTGGACAGGAGGGTGGGAGACTCAAGGCCCTCACTGGCAGTGCTGACCCTTCCTGTGGTGCAGGGAGCCAGCGGGAGGGGTGGGAAGCCCAGGGGTCTGCTGCTGTGGAAGCTGACTGTTGGGTGGGATCTTTATAAGGGCACACAGGGAGCAGGTAGGAAGATGAGTGCTAGCTGTTGGAGTTAGGGAAGGGGTAGAGTGGAAAGGAATAGCCAGGCACAGGGATGGGAAGAACAAGAAGGATTTGGAAGATGGGACAGAAACGGAGTAGAGATATGAAATGGTGGGGTGAGTGTCTGTAAGTCTGGCTGTACACTCAGTTGTGAATTTTTAGTAGAAGTTTTTCAGGAGCCCTAGGTATAGAAAACACTTTATGGAGTATTATCTGTGAAATACTGAATTCAATATTTTTGAAAGCCTGCAGCTCCTGGAAATTGTACTTTGCTACCTCTTAGACTGTAAGAGCGGATACTCTCTGGCTAACCTGCAGGGAACTTCCTTCCTCCCTTTGTAAAGGAAATAAGGATGTGAAGATATGTATCTATGCTGTTGTGTCCCTCCCCACCCCCCTCCCACCCCCTGCTTCTTTGCACTGGTGACTTTATCACCTTTGCTTCAGGCATCATCTCTTATATTCAAGGCCATCAGATAGAAATGAACTAGGAAAAAGAGAAATCCAACTTTTGACTCAAACTCTTGATATATAAATGATGTAACCCAGAATTCAGCATTACTCCTACACAGATCTTTACAGAAGATCATCAGTCAAGTACCAAAACTGAAGGTCAATGTTTCACCTTTGAATCATCAGATTAAAAAAAAGTTTTTCAGTGAAGCCTAAACAACAGCAATATCTTACAGTTACATATTGACAGAGAGCCTTCAAGGCAGCTAGATACACATTTGTAGCTATGCTTTTTATATTTTAACTGGGGTTTTTTAATGCTGTGACAAATTTTGAACCATAGAGAGAAGGAGACAGCATAAGTGTGAACTGTGCTTGATAGTTTAATTAGGAAACCAGCTAGCTGGTCTTGAGTATTTTTTCAGCATGATAATGACCCCTCCTACTGCCTTTACATGTCATTCTTTGCAGGATAGTATCATAAGGCCTTTCAGGTAAGTTATAGAATTATTGCCAAGCCAAATCATACATATTTGGCACCTTAGCACTACAGCATTGTAATCTTTTCCCACATCAGCCCTTGCAGTGGGAGGAGGGATGGCTTGCAGAGAGGCACTACAGCTGAAAGAGCTGTGGGTCCTGCTATAGCCTGGCTGCAGAGACTTGACAAATCTCTTCACTCTGCCCAAAGAACCTTCTGTCACCAGGGACCCGCTAGAGCTGAGAGGTGGCTGCTCAGGCAGAGGGAGCTCTGCTCAGTCCTGTCCAGCTCTCGGCTGCTCTCAGCCAGCACCACACAGGGCTCCGGTGCACAGCGGCTCCGTGGCACACAAACTGCACGTTCCCGGGGAAGCGGCCTCACCTACCCTGCTGTGTAACTCAGCCAGCACAGCAACGGCCCTGCTGCTTTTCGGCAAAAAGGAGACCCATCTTGGTCCCATAGCAAGGCTCCAGTTCAGCTCAAAGAGATAAAACTCACCTTAACAAGGAAATAAAAAGTTGTTCAAAATTATCTCTTCCTTCTGAGAGCAGCCTCTGATTATACAGTAAGTGAGAATAAAAATGGCATTTACATTCTTAGGAAACAATGCCTGGGCACAGTTTGAAATGTTTCAGATTCATTCTTTGGAAACAATTTGTGTGATTTGTTTTCCTTCAAGTGGGATTCTGTTTTTCTTCTGCTGCTTGGGGTGTGTGGTTTGACACTCAACTTGTCAGTTTAGCGTTGTGAGATTGTGAGTTTTTTGAAGAGGGCACATCTGTGGTTATAGAAGAATAACAAGAAGCATCAGATGTTCAGTGAACAAAAGAGCAGAGTTGGGAGGATCTTAGAAATGACTAGTTAGCAGAGATGACATGTTTTTGACCTAGAGCTGTAGAGGGCTAATGTAAAATTACTTATTTTTGAAAACTCTCTGGAAAAATTATCTTAATAAGGAAACACTTTAACTACATTTCTAGTTGTGAAATTTTATAACAAGCCAAAGATCTTAAGCAGCAAAAATACCTACTTTGCTTTTTTTTTTTTAATTTAGTGACAGCCCACAGTTCAGAAAAAGAAGAATGTATTCAAAAAAGCTTTTAAATCAATCAGAGTTTCTAAGCAGTAAAACTACTGCCCTTTTGAGAACAGAGGGAAGTGTTGGGACAGCAGCTTCATCCCCCATATTATTCCTTAAGATCGCTTGGGAATAGTTAAGGCTGATGGACATATAACCAATATTTGTGCAAGAAGTAGTCAGACTGCAGAGGGGTGTAGGCTTAGGCAGGTTTCTGTGTAAAAGTGAACTGGATCTAAAACTTGCCCAAAAATCAACAGCCAGTGGGGTTTGCAACAGTGTATGCCTTTGTTAAAGTGCAATTACTATTCTAGCTTAACCACCTGCATTGTTATCAAAAGACTGTAATATTTTCAAACATTTTTTAATCTTGCTCTTGTATACTGATATGAAATCACCCTCCCTCTTCTGTCTATGCAGGTAAAGATACTATACCAAATTAATATTGGTCTCAGTGAAGTATTTCTCATGTATCACATGCTTTGAGACCATGTCTTCAATTTGAAACACCCAGGAGTTTGCACTTCTTGCATAAGAAGTGCAAAAAAGCTAGTAGTCACCTTCAGGAATTCTGTGCTAAAGTGATATTTTAACATTTCAACTGCCAAAGTAACGCACCTGTAACTCGAACTACAGCCAGCCTTGCTGAATCAGTACTAGCCACAGATTTGTAAGCATTTATTCTATTTATTAAATTAACAAATCAGAAGTGTCTGCAAAAGGTTTTCCCCTGACTGTGGATAGCACTTGCAATACTAAGATGTTTATGGAAAATCCTGCTCAGTGGCAAATCCTGATTAGGAAACGTTATCATTTTTTTGCATAATAGGTGAGATAGACGTGCCTAACATATGGTTGCTATAAAATACCTTACATGAGTCAGATCTTAGCTGACAGCTGTAAGCAGGGTTGTTCTGGCTTCTTAGATAATACTACCAATTATGATCCTTTTTGTTACTTAACTACTGTACTGTTAAATTATATTAACCTGATTTGTAGACACTCCTGTTTGAGTAGAACAAAAAAGCAAGATTTATGATGTAAATCCTGATCTAAATGTTTGCTGCTTATTAAAGCAGAATCCAAAGTCCTTCAAACTCTCTGTAGTGATGACTAATTCTAACCAAATTGTAGGACTCCCAGGAAGCTGCTGCTGTCCCACTAAGTGTTCAGTGCAGTTACATACACCATAAAATTTAAGAGGCTCAAAATTGGCAGAGATGGCATTGATCTGGCTTGCAGTGGTGCAGGATGTAGCAGTCAGTAGCCCCACAGGCTCTGCGCTCTGATCTTTGCAAGCAGCTCCCACAGGTAATCACAGCGTGCAAAAACGTACCGAAGACTTTGCCTTTAAAGTACAGGCTACCAAATCATCCCGGGGCCTTCCAAGGTGGGATTCTGCAGAGTGGCAAGAGGAGACTGCCTTGGGATCACCTGTGTGTCAGCTCTAGCCTGTTCTTGGAGAGGGCCTCCTTAGAGCTCTTGTCTTGGGGTAACTGCAGGATAGCACAGTAAAGCCAACAAACAGGAGGACATCTGCAGTGTACAGGGGCCACTGCACTGTTCTGATTGATTAGCCTTCCTAAGTCTAGGACTTTAGTCTACACATTCAGTTCCGGTAGCAAAGTCAGTATATTTTTTTTAGAACTCCAGCTTGCACCTTGCTCTACTCTACAGCTGCAAGCAACTAAGGGGGAATGACTAACATTTAATCACACATGTCCTTACATTGCCTCAGTGGCTGATCTGCTTTCACTTGCTTTTTTAAACCAGTGTTCAAATGAGTGCTGCCTGAAGATATGGGTTTCCAGCTCCTCCCTGCCCCCACCTCACCAAATCCCGTTTAGCACCACAAATGCCACAGTTCCTGTTCTGCAGCATCTTTCAAGCATCTCCCAAAGCATTCCACGCTCTGTGCAGAGAAGTGGTTCTAAGATGAATAGTCACAAAAAGAAAGCTCTCAAGAGGAAAAGTGTTCAGCAATATTACTTTCTGCCTTTGCTAATGGAAGGCACACCCACTTCCTCTGACTCTAATCACAGCACGACTGGCTGTCAGGTGGTAGAGATGTGCAGTTGAGAAACAAGAGGTCTTTATAGGTAGATGCCTAACCCTGCCTTGTATACCATCTGCTGCTAATGGAAACTTAGGACTTGCCAAAAAGAGAAGCTGATTCTGTGTTTTCAATATTTAATGCTCACTGGAAATGACAGTTCAGCATTACCTGCTGCCCCAGTCAGATCAATCTAAACCCCACCCACAGCACTGTGTGTTCGTACGCAATTGCAAAAATAAACAGTAAGTATGGAAAGCTTAGAGGCAAATTGCAGAACTTGAATGTAACCTCCTGGATGTAATTTCAACATATGGGCATTATTTTTTCCCCTAAACAGTGCCACTCAATTTAATTCTTTTGGGTTTAACTCTTAGGGGTTAAGAAAAATTCTATTAGAAATAGTAGCCATCAAAGTGAACAATAGGATCAGATTGCTTAGAAACTTAGGGTCTAAGTTTCATAAACTATTACAAATTATTCCAGGGAGAACCAGTCTACTATGGTTGACATTCTGAGTTGACTTTTCTGCTTTCTTTCCCCCACTAGGGACTAAGGGACAGAGGTATTACCACCACCCACTTCATACCCTGCACTAAGGTAAGATTTGTAGACCCTAAATTTAAGAGCATTGGTTCTCTCTGAAGTAAATTAAGACAGGCAGGTACCTAAGGTTGGATGCCTAAATTTAGAAGGTGTGAATACTGCTTTCCCCTTCTCTCTTCCTTTTTCTTCTCTCTGATGTGTTAGTCCTTTTTTTCTCCAGCAGTTAAAAGGTCAGTTCAGACTTCATGTCCAGCTGAGCTGTTCATTCCCTCTTGCATTTTGTAGAGTCCAGGTTCTCTCAAATTAGGGGAAGAAGGGTATTACATGGAACATCAAGATTCACAGAACCGTTATTTCTCCCTAAAACCACAACAGATGTCTCACTTTTAAGCTACTCACTGAGACTGAAGAGTGAAAATACAGGTGACTCTTCTATGTGTAATGTGGACAAAGCCTTTGAGGCCCCAGATGTATCTCATACATGTACCATGCTCCTTGTCACTCCCTGCATCACTCTTTAAAAGACAGGGTAGATCTAACTTTCCAGTTCTGGGTTTAGACAGCAGCACAGCCCTGTCAGTTATGCTGCTCTAGATTTACTAAGGCACATTTTTGTTTTGATACTCTTCAATGAAATAAATCAAGCTCTTTTCTGGTTTTAATGTAGAATTTTGTATTACCATATATAAGCATAACATTTGCCAACTTTAGACAGATGCAGCATAATCTCTGATAATTTACAGGTTACCTTATGACTTTCCTACTTTCCCGAAATGGTGACTATCAAATGGACCACTCTGAATTCTCTGGCTCTCCAAAACCCAATAAAAATCAGCAAGCATGGTCAATGGGCACAAAGAACAAAAACAGCAGCAGTGAAGGGTTCTGCACTAGGAAGTTTAGTATTACAGAGGGCAGTGCTTACACTGAGAGTATTTACAGGACTGTGAACTGAACTTTGGTGTGAAAATAGACACAAATGCCTTTTTGCCAGCCTCTTTGGACAGCATAAAGACTGCTTTGAATAACACTGAAAAAATGTGACTTTCTCTGTATACGTGGTTGTTCTCTTTCTGAGATTACTTCATTACTACAGAAAACTTGGTAAGAAATCCATACCTGTGCTAGGCAGGGTTTGTGTCACACATTCCTCCTTTGATGCGGAGAAACTGCAACAGCAGGAAGCAGGCTCTGCTTCAAGCTTTAAACTAAACTGTTCTTCTGTTCTTTACTTAATCCATTATATACATCAGGAAAAAAAAATCACTGTAGAAGTCTGGTTTTCCCCTATTAAAGAAACATCACACTATATTTGCCCTGCTTATGCCCCATCTACCCTAAGGCCCAGATCCATAATGTCCCTACACAAGCTGGTCTCAGCAGCTCACAAGTCAGTCACAAAAATTTAGTGTGTATGAGACAAGGCTGAAACCACCACTGACCTGAGTGTCATCTGCCCTCATCCGCTCAGCTCACAGAGAAGGAAAGACAGTAAGCACAGCAACAAGGCCACAAGGCAACAATCTGCCTGCAAACAGAAGCAGAATGAGAAGTGGGGGAGCGACACCAAAACCGAGTTAAGAAAGAGTGACATCTCTTAAAGGACAGATAGTTGTGACAGAAATTAGCTTTAAGCCAAAAATGATGTCTGGATTTGAACATTTCTATGCAGTTAAGCTGTTACAAAACATGCTCATAAGAAAATTACATAAATTAACTTAATTTTTGGTACTTCAGTTGTCATCTTTACATACCAGTTAAGGCTGACAGTATGAAAGATCCTTTTTAGATGAGTCTACAGCCTTTCTCCCTAGTAATGGGTGTATACATGCATACTGTCTCCATTTATTTATATGTGTGTTACTCATGTCTAAGGGAGATAAAATCATTAAAGGTAAGTGAAGAATATTTCTTCAGGGCATTTCCAGCATTCTACAGAAGTCTTTTTTCTGGCCTCATGGAAGGATAAAGGTTATTCTGTTCTCTTAGGGCAAGGAAAAGAATGGGGGAGCTTACCACACAGGAGCTGAAGGAGAGAGACAAAAATTCTGAAAGCTTACTTTTTTGAGCTGCTGAGAAAGACACTAAAAGCAGCTACACTGAACCCTGATAAAGAGGTCTTTGAGCCTGCAACCTATTCATTCTTATTACAAGATCGTACATTTCCTACACAGTAGGTGCTGAAGACCAAGCCTAAAAATAACTAAAAAAAAAAAAAAAATCACACCACTAAACTGACAGGAAGTGTAAAAACTTTCCAAGTGTGAGCCATCGAACGTAATAAAACACAGTCATATTCCTGATATATTTGTAATGCCTTCTAGGTACACTCAGTATAACAAAACTGTTGTGAGGTAATCTTTGTGCCCCAAGGTAAATGCGCATGGAACAGGACAATGGCTTGCTCATCCACAGGGAAGTACTAGCTAAAAATAGAAATATATTTAACTTCTAAAATCAGAAGCAAATAGATATAAAAATCAAGTTAATTAACTTAATTAATTAATTAATTAAGTTCTGCTCAGAGTATCATACCTATTAGTCAGTCTTCTACAGAAGTTTATCTTTTGGTGAGGTTTTGACCCTTCTTTCCATATGTAGCAAGTAAACTTTTTCCATCATGGCCCAAAACCGATGTACCTTCTATCCAGTAACTCTTACGAATTTTATATCAGACATGCTCTGATTGCAATGGGCAATTTTTTCCTGTTGCATACTTAGAAAAATGTGTAGCTGTAACTCTGCATTAAAGGTTATGCACATTCTAAATTGTTGCTTTTACAACGTATACTGAACATAACTTCCCATTACAAGGTAAGTTAGGAAAAGTCAAGCATCTCCTAAATAAAGTGTACTGCACAATGAAGCTTCCAGGGAAAAGCTGCATGGCCTTCTTTGCATTTATTCTGAACGTATGAAGGAACAACACATCAATAAACTAATTAAGTGGAGAGTTCCCTTATGATGTCCAATTACAGAAACAAAACAAAGGAATAAACTTTGTTTTTTCAAATGGAGTCGCTGCGCAGCAGCCCTGGTAAGTCTTGCTTCAGCCTTAACTAGTGCTGGCATTTGCTGCAGACTAAGCACTGTCAGTTACAACCTTCAAGTCTCTCAAAGGACAGTGTCCCATGAACTGAGAACGATGCAGTAAACCATATTATGGAATCATTAAGAATCACTAGTGGATTAGTTTTAAATTGCAATTTATAATCAGTTAGTGCCAGAAACAAGCCCAAAGACACTCAGTCTAAACAACATGACTCTTTCAAATTAAATGACTACTGAAAGCCAAAAATTTTAGTTATTAAAATATATGTTCAAGTCAAAATTATTAACAGAGTCTGTTTAAAAATAACTTTTACATAAGTTCAAAGACCACTCCTTTTGTCAGAAGCAGCAAGAGAAACAGGCTATAACTCAGACATCTTTATGTACTGTCACAGTCATTCTTACAGTTACTGCTCCATGCATTGGGGCAACCGGAAAAATGTCAGCAGCACTGATCTTAACACTCCAGGCTAATATTCTTCCCCTCCCCCTCTTTCCCTAATTCCTGTAGACAAACTGAAAGTTTCCAAACTAAGAAAAAAACAAATCCAAATTCCTTTCTACTGCTTTTAAACACACAGTTTTCAGATGATCCACATGGTAACTTGTCTTCGTGCATACCTTGAACAACTGATGTTATAGGCAGCTTTTCCACAAGACTTCAAAATTCTTACCCATAGCAAGGAAATGAAAAAGCAGAAGTGCAAGTAGTACAATTCATACTAAACTATATTTTTCATTTTAAAAAAGTTCCAACAATTGAAGATATTCTTTTATTCTCTGTGCAACTATTTCAGGTGGTAGGAGATGTTAAGATGATCATGTTATTCTGTGGGGAACAAAGGATTGAGATCAGTAATGTTAATACACTAATTAATATTATAACTCTGTTTTCATTGAATCAATTTAATATGATCAAAATAAATAAGGTATTTGCTCTAAATTTCTTGGCCTTCCCAGAATGCAATGCGGTCTCAACATTAAGAAAAAAAATACATATCTCTCGACTCCATTTTATATCACAAAGACTGAACAAAACAATTTAATTGTAATAATTAAAAAAACCCTGCTGAGCCTTGGCCGTTGTAGCCATACGGAATTTATTTTTTTTTTTAAAAATTGGGGTAGTAAAAATTCCTCTCAAAATTGCAGTAAACCACTATATATTATCAAAAGATTAATGTGATAAGTAAGCAGCTGGCATTTACTGTAAGTGACAAAATGATGACACTCATTTCCATACCATATATATTTCTTTACTTTAAAATGTGCTTCACACATTTTCTACTCTGGCTGATACAATCTGTAGTTACTGTGCATACTTACAAAATGCTGAAAATAAAAACCAGTGTTAACTGCCTTGGTTTTATGACACACAAAGTAGCTTAAAATTGACTGACCATTCAAGTCGTCAGTCCATTCTAAATATTCTTGTTAAACTTTCCAAATCTTCATTTTTGAAATGCAGTTCTTCCAGCAACGTGGTCAGGAACTGTGTGTACATTGGGCTTGTTTGAGTATTCTTGAAAAGTGGAGTAGTTTGTGACAATCTGGAAAAAAACCAAACATATTTCATACAGAAAAGCAATTTTTCAGTGTCTGACGTAAAAAAACAAGCAAAGCTTGTGTGTTCAAACAACGGTATTGAAGAAAGGCAGTGTATACTGTCACACTTGATTCATTACAAAATATAATGGACTGTATGTGTTAAATAAAATGTGATCCACACCAAAATATGATTTTTTATTAAGATGTAGTGAAAAAAACCCCCTAATTAGAAAAAAAAAAGAGTGAGTAGTTTGTATGCCTCTAACTGGTGTATACTGCTGTTATTTAATGTAGATAAACAAAATTCAGAATGAACAAAGTGCAAAACATTATACAATTATACATAAAAAAGGAAAGATCTCGATCATTATTTTCTTCTTTACCAAAAATCTCCTAAACAATCATACAGTAAAAGCTGTATACTTCTTTGCATGACTAAAATATAAAAGAACCATAAAATTCTGTTTAAAATAACCAAGAATAATATTTATAGTCACACACTGTCAAAGTTCATAAAGACTTTCAAGAAGGTGACTTCCTCAGCCAATTTTCCCCTGCTCTGTGTGCCATAAACCACAACTTAAGAGTAGCAAACCCATTTTGCTTTGTGCCAAGATTTCTCCAAACAGAGAGAAGCCTCCCATAGAGGCATTTTGGATTATTACTTATTTTACTTGATGCACATGGGCACGAGACATCAATTAGATTCTCAAACCAAGGAACAATTTGAGTGAGTAATCAGAGCAACCTGATTTCTTAGTTTTGACACTCTGTACCTTAAAGCAGTTTAATTGAGAAGTCGGGCAGTTAGAACAGAGCTGGCAGAACAGAGCCCCTCCTCACAGGTTGGAGGTTGGTTTTTGCATTATGACGCTTTGTCAGCGGGGGAGCAGAGGAAGTGCTGATAGAGGATCAGAGTAACCATTTCAGAGTGTTAGTTTGGAGACAAGGATAGTGAGAGAAACACCCAGAGATGCATTATTGCTAGTCTTCAATTCACCCTTCTTAGAATTAAGTAGACTGTATATGAAAAAAGACTGGTGGCAGAAACAGTCATGACTTCCTGAGTGCTGGTGCCAGGCAGTTGCAGCATTGTCAACCACTCTCTTGGCAATGATGTAGATTTACATGCATTTTTATCTGAATCTTCTTACTCCTGCCATGGGTTTAAGAGGATGTTAACAAGGACATTATTTTTCAAAAAGAGGAGAAAACTTGTGCAGCTTTAAGTAATACTCTAAAACTAAAATCTTTATACAATGAAGCTCACACAATATTTTTTGTACTGCAGTTTGTAGTATTACATAGTTTCATGAATTACAAACATATCCTAAATGTTAAACTCTGTTTAAGACGCTCTGTTTAAGGAATAGCTACTATAGCTCCCACCAAGAAAGAAAGAAAAAGGTATTGATATTGTTAGGGAAATTACCAGGCATTAAATATTGAGAAAGGGAAGTTAAAAAAAGAAAAGACATTTTAGCTGTGGATCAATTTTTTCCTTACCTGAGCTTTGTTTAAAAACTAATTAAGTCACTAATTATCTGATAAGCAAGAGACTAAATCAACAAGTAACTTCAGAGAGGCAGGTACAAGTTTCTAGCAATTAGTTAGAAGTTGCGTCTTGATGGGACAATGTGTTGAACATTTATGAATATATGTGCAAACACTTCACTCTTGGAAAACTGTTTCCTTTTGGTCTAACTTGTAATTTGAAAAGCAGTTATTGTTGAGTACTTTTCTACTTTTAAGTGGATGTTGGAGCAGAAGCTTTTGTCTGCAAGAGGAGCAAGCACAAGTTGCTTATTTGCATCAAGAGGTAAGTCACATGTTCTAAGTAACACTGGTCCAATGTGTAATAGATTAGTTGTTGTAACATAATTTACTCGTCAAATTAGTGGTAGTAATAGTTGTAGTAATTTACTCTTTTTATTGCATGTTATATTTATATATATATATATAATTGTAATCAAGGTTCTGTTAAGGCCTGTGGACTGTAAGTTACAGAATGGGCAATTAATCTGTCAGTACTATAAACTGATAGTCCTGCAGCTGCAGCTTCTAAGCTGACAAAACAAGTTGTTATGCCTTACTGAATAAGTCTTTTGTATATTGACTAAAAGTGTAGCTTAAAGTAACGAAGGAACGGACAAGGATCAAAGGGTCAAGAACGAAGATGATAAAAAGTATCCAAGATGGACATCTGAAAGAGACTCACACAGTAGGCCTCAAGGACTAAAAATTACCTAAAACTATGGAAAGGAAAGTACCTGGCAACTAAAAGCGAGCTTGCAAAAGAACCAACCAGAACCAGGCTTGCGAACTCGTATCCAATAGAAGGATAACAAGTGACTATGGGAAGGGAACTGACAATAGTATAAAGAATACTGGTTTTGCCCACTGCTTTGCTGGCCGTGTGTGGAGCAGGGGTCTCCCCGGCAGCCCAGTGCGCTGTTTTGCTTATTTGCAATTTATATAAATCTTTAATAAATTTTGCTGCTATATTTTAGCCTAAGTTTCATTTACTTATAACAAATGTATATTTGAGATACTGCACAACAGAGCATTGAGGGGCTGTTTAACTGAATTAAACCTTAATTGTATGCAAACAAGTCAGAACAGCATTTGGAATCAGTATCTTCAAGTCACTGAAAGCTACTATGACCCTATGTCTGAAGAAACTATCACGACTAATTCAGTTTAATGATACACAGGATTTCAGTTCAAAGATCATAGAATTCCCTTGAAACTCTGCAGCATCTTCAAAAGACACAGAATATAAACAGGAAACGGGATACTCTGGATCACAATAAAAACAACAACTGGATTCTGCAACAATGAAAAGAAAAATATGAATTTTGCTTTTCTGTTACTTCTTTCACATATTGCAACATTCATCTGGAACAGACTTTTGTGAATAAAGTAAAATAAAAATAAGAAAAGCTAAAAGATGAAGTGATTTTAAAATAACCACCTACAGAATTACACAAATATAAATGTTACAGTCCAAAATCATACACCCATTCTTCAAAGGCTCGCCTTCAGCACACCCGTTAAAAGGAAATGTTCATGCTCAGCTCATGGAAAAGTAGTATATCAGAGTTGATGAAAGTGTCGTTTCCTGCACACCCACTTACACCATATGGTAAACAGGTATTTGTAAAGATTAAAAAGTGTTAAAAATGTCAAACTATATCTGATTGATAAAATTTGTATTTGCTGGCTATTCCACATATGTTATATGTTCAAGAAAAAAACCACAAAAGCGAAATTCATGTGAAGACCAAGCAATTATCATCAAGCTATTAAATGACATCTGGCTACCACAAAACGTTTACATAGTTTCAGTGCTTCAACTCAAGACCCAAGCTTTCTGTGAATTACTTGCCTTACAAAAACATTTGACAAGTATATTTTTAAGATCATCATAACCAGGATGACTGGTAAGTACTCTTCTATTAGAATGATGGAGTTGAACTAATGAAGGATCACAAAGTCTCCTGAACACTTGTTTCAGAACATGGAAATGAAGGAGGATATCGCAGCAAATACAGGCAGCAATTTTTTCCCCTTCTCCAACAAAAGCACACACAGAGGCACAGATTACTTCATATGTGCTACAAGAGTGCCAACAAGCCTGTGATCGAGGTGCAATCAATAGGTTCTTGCAACAGGTCCCTACCTGAAAGGAAAACCAATGCATTTTTGCTCTGTTTTGACAGTTACAAATCGGACTATGGCTATGAACAATCTATTCCTCTCACTCTGTGCAAGCATTTCAGCTGAAGATCTGGTAACATGTACTATGTACACTTAAGAAAAAGTACTTACAAGCCTCCACCATCATTTCAGGTGATTCACCACAGCTATTGAAGATTCTGGGAGATCAATCAGCCATTCCAGCAATGTGCCATTAGCACGACTCTAAAGCACTTTTGCTTCATGGCTATGACAAAGTCACATCACATTGCTGACAAGGACTGAGCCAGGAGAAACACATGACAAAACCAAACTGTGCAGGAGACACTCTGTGAAGTGCCAGGGATCATTACCTGACAGCTACTACAATAAAGCATTAAACAGAACCCTGTCTGAATAGAAAAACTTGTTATACTAAAAGTCTGCCAATATTCAGACACAAACGAAAAACATTTTAATGGAAACTCTACATCAAAGTTGTTTCTGGGATCTGGTAAGGACTGACTAGCAATACCACGCTTTTTGTGTGTGTGTGTGATCAAATGGCTCTGAAAGAAGAGCAGCTTATTGAAGTCTAAGTCTGTAATTCAAAAGCAGGAAATAGCACCATCATGTGGGTCACAGATAATGGAAATTAATTTGGAAATCTGTCAAATTTCTATTCAAAACTCACACTTGCTTGGCTATTATGAGTCAATTCCAGATTTGAAAAAACAAAGTCATGAATGTAGGACAGCCCATCTTTGTGAATAATTAATTGATACTTAGAAGGACTAAGTTAAAAGGCCATCAACCCACAAGACTTCCAGCTTTCTCCCTCTACATATTTTTTTATAAACAGTTGGGACAGTATTACCTATATATCAACTGCTTTTCATATTTACCATTAACATACTCTTCTTCCCAGCTCTGTATTTTGAGTTGAAATCACTAAGGAAATTGTCTCCAATTGCTTCTACAAGGTATAAAGCAATTGTTTTGTTTAAGACAAATGGCCAGACAGAGTCAATACAACACACGTTACACATCAGCAATAAAACTCATTGAAAGAGAGGTGCACTGCGGCTCGTAGACCATCTGCCTGTACATACAACTGTAGTGTTGCCATGTACCAACCACTTGCTGTGTTTATCCATCTCATGAATCCCTGCCCAAAGGCACTCAGACATTTTGACAGAGTAAGTCAAAGCATCACTGTAATTTTGAATGTTCTTCACAATACATTGACTGCCTGCTTAGAGGTAGAGTCTCTCACTTCCAGTATCTCACTGGATACAGTATGTTTGTCTAGAGACAGCACTTTTGTTAGTAACGTATCTTAAATCACAGCAGGATTTCCACAGACCTTAAAGCATGATGCATCCCTAAGGCCAGAGTTACTATCAGACAGAAGGCTGATCTGAAGCATGTGAGTGTAGCTGTAAGTTAAAGATGCAACACCAGGGAGCTTAAAAAAAATTATAAACTTTGTTATAATTAAGTGGTTACAATTGACACTGTTTTAACACATGCTCAGAAATTAGAAAATATGACAGCCTCAACTCAGCAGTTATGTTCCCAGTTTCAGTGAAAAAACCTCCACCTGTTTCTAATAACTTTAGTTTGAGCATCATTGAAAAATCTCAACATTACAAAAACCCAAACCGTTAAAAGCAAAAGACTGTCTCTAGAGTGAACATTTTCCATTAGAACACATTAATATTTGACAGACAAGCTTGAACTGGAAGCATCTAACTTACAAACAAGATGCGAAAGTATTTAAATATATCTTAGGAATTAAGCTTTTTAAATTAAACTATACTAGGACTGAAAAAAAGTAATTATGATCAGTGTCATTTGCAACTCTGAAATTTAAGCACCTTCTAATCTGGGGTCTTTTGTTACCATATCCAATGGGTCAAAGAGGAAATCATGAGTATTCAGGGGCAATTTTCTTTAATCTCCCCCAATTTATTCCTGTATTATATTCTCTTAATAAAAGATAAAACACTCTGAAGTCCATGGTGTTGAATGGTAACAACTGGCAGAAATAAACATATTTTCCTACTGAGATAAAAAAGCCTCTTCTGGTCTAGTTTTAAATATAGCCTGAAGATCCTATTCTCATCATAAAGACAAGAATTTTGTAACTGAAGTGCAACTTATGTTTTATTTATTATTTAACTTCCTTTCATTATTGTGTACTGACTTGTCCACAGAATCCAGCACAGGCACTTTAATTCTCCGATGGCAACAGAAACTAAATTATTCATAGTTCAAAATTTTTGTCCACTACACTCAAATCAATGCTAAAAACATTGATTCAAAATCAACGACTGGAATTCCTACATAATCCAAGTATATGGCAAAAATTAAGGTTCATTCAAAAGTTAACTTTGTTAATTGTTTCCACTATCTTCATTTTTTTCCTATGCAGCTTCTACAAGTCCGCTCAATAAAAATGATCTTTGATACATGTTTATGCATATACTTACACAAAATATATATTTTCTTCATTTAAATTTCACTTTCCACACACATTTTTCATATAGTTGGTGTCCAGACACAAGTCAACTTGTGGGGGCCAAATGTGGCTGAAACTTTATTTGTGGTGTAGCCAGATGGATACAACTAATAGTAAAAGGAAAGCATTCCTACAGTGACAAGGGTTTATCTAACTACTTGATAGGAGTGCTTGCTAACAACTAAAAAAGAGACAATAACTTGCTTTTCTTTCTTTCCCTTCCCCCCTGCCCCAGTGAGTTACGTGTATCCAAACAGGCAACTCGCAGTTCAGAGAACAGTCTGAGACTGAACCTGAAGCCGCACCAGCCCACACCCCACAGCTCTCTGGGATGGTGCTCGGGGCCAGGCCCTTGGGGCCAGGCTGTGCAGCAGTTCCCTCCAGTCACATCATGTTCACGTGGGCTTTGGAGGCCGAGTGAACATTTGCAAAATACTGTGCAAGTTCTACCCTAACATACCACATGAGAGCTTGTTTTATGTCTTTCCCTTCATAGGAGAGTTCAGTTATTGTTTTTCCATGAAACTGCATAAGGACGTTTTTTGAAGGCACTTCAATGTTTTAACTGTACTGTGCAGGAGAGAAGAGTTGAGGCAACAGGCTTATGGCTACCTTATCAGGTACAGAAACTGTTCCTTTAAAATGGATTTAATAAAATGCAAATGTTCTGGATCTTTGCAATTTTTTAACCTAACAAACAAGCTATTTGCATGAGTAGTAGGATACATTGTTTATGCCACTTTCTTCCTCTCCCTTGAAAGTTAGGGATTACTCCATCAGCTGCCAGCTGTTATTTGTAATAGCCAGCTGGGTAACTACAAAGGTCCTGCAATGAAAACAATTTATAATAATGTTGCATTGATACAACAAGATACAGAAAAAGAAAAAAAAAATCAATTAACTTGTCCTCAAAATATTAACTTCCGTAAGATAAATGACCCTTGACTTTCAATGCAGGACAAATAAAAAACTTTCCCATATATAAAAGAAATTTCTATTTTCATCATTAGGTCAGTAATTAATTTTACAGGCAAAGTAAAAGTCTGATGCAAATGAACACTCAAGTCTTAAAATCAATAACGTGTTTAAGGAAACCACAGTGACACACACATGGTGTGACAGTACAGCCATGTAGTGCTATTTGTGTCAGATCTGTACATTGTATACTTGAAGGCAACATGCCTTCAAATGTACACTCTATATATAAATAACTACAAAAAAATTTAAAATGTCTCAAAAATTAGATAAACATCTGAAACTTTCAGTTAATGTAACTCATACTATTTTACCACAAC